TTTTTTTTTTTTTTAATCGGTATCTTTTTTTCTGAGCACTAGTATCACCACTCCCAGAGAAAGTGTTGCAGGAGTACAGGTACAGAAAGACTGTTCAGAGAACAGTAGCTCAGTGTTTGCTCATAGTCTCACCCCTCAAGCAACACACATTATTTTTGGTGTGGTCATGCTTCTTGTACTCTACTGTGTATTACAACATTAAAAGGACAGATTGACCTAGTACAGGTAAATGGCAGTGTCTTCCTTTAAACTAGCAATGTAAGTACATATTAACAGAAAATAGTCCTCCCCTATCTGCTTGCCATTATTTTAGGTACCTACATGGTCTGAAAATATTAAATGGAAAATTACAGAACTTTAAAAGTAAAAAGGTGGTTGAGTATGTTTGGAGTTGCTTCTGGTTTGTTTTTTTTTTTTTTTTTTCCAATACCACACTATTTTTATCATAGTAGCTCTGTAGTATAATTGCAAGTCAGGGATTATGATGGCTCTTGCCTTACTTTTGTTGCACAGAATTGCCTTTGCTATTCTAGGTGTCTTCTGGTTCCAAATAAATTTTAGGATTATTTCTTTCTTTTTTTTTTTTTTTTGGCAGAACCAGGGGTTGAACTCAGGCCCCTGCACTTGCCGGGAAAGCGCTTATTCTACTGAGCCATCTCCCCAACCCCAGGATTATCTTCTCTAATCCTGTGAGACATGCTGTTGGAATTTTGATCAGAATTGCATTAAATCTATATAATAGTCCTGGAAATAAGGTCATAATACTTTGAAAAGTATAAATTTGGACAATAAACACAGTCAACATTTTGTCAGATGGTAGGCACTTAAAAGCAGTTTTAATGGAATATATATTATTTCTATCTGGTGAAACAAGGTGTGTTCATAGCTCCTAAGTGAGTCAGCATTCACCAGGAAAGGCACAGAAATGTGGGAGGTGTACCGTTTAATGTATTTGCCGCTGGCTGCTCCGGTGGCTGGCTGCTGAGGCTGCCCATTTGTAACTCTGGCCGGTTGCTTGGATACCACATTGCTAG